GGATAACATCCTGGAGGCATTCACTCCTGTGACACAGCCATGGGGTCAGGAAGGAGGCAGAGGAGCCGGACATGCCCTCCCTGTGTGGTGGGGCTGGGTTGTTTTCCACCACTGCCTGTGTGCCAGGAATGCACAAGGTATAACACTCTGAGAGTTTACTTTTGCTACAAAATACTTCCCTGCATGCACATAGCATGGCTGCAATTCAAGAGGAAAATAACACAGGCAAGCCTGCTGCTGGAAAGCTGTTAATCCCCTGCCTGTCCCAGCATCCAAAAGGGTGTTAATCCCAGCCTACACGTCAGAAGACATAGCACAGAGTCAAGAGAAAGGCAGGACACTCCCCACTTGGCTGACTTACCAACCTACATTGAAAAGATCATCGTGCCAAAACGACCTCTCCCTCTCTATACCACACTGCTTCTCTGCTGGAAGCCAGAGCCTCATCACATTGGAGAGCAAGCGAGAAGGAACTGTGTGTCTTTGGGAAGAGATGAAAGGAGGACTGGGGGGACAAATGGAGCAGGGAAAGGCCCCAGGCAGGTCTGGGAAGCCTACAACTCTCCATGGCCAGCCCTAGACAGCTGATTCTTCCCCGCTGGCACTGAATTTGTGCCTTTGCTAGCTCGGTCTGACACACCTGCCCATCGCTGTCCTTGGATGACATCATGGCTGACCAGATCTGGAAAGAATACTTCATCTTGTGGATTGCCACACGCTGAACTTGGACCCCCAGGTCACTTTCAAGGTGTTCCACCACCTGAGGGGAACAGCAGAAAGGGTTTGTTTCTGCAAGGATATGACACGCTGCCATCAGCCCATGGAATCTACAGAGAAGAGGGCAAGGGCATCTGCTTGCAAGATCTTCCCCTTGTTTCTTCTCTAACACAGAAGAAAAAGTTCTTTCCATGTTTTTAATTCTGGAATCACATGACAGGGACTTGAGGCTGCCTCCCCAGCCCTCCATCCCACCAGACCTCACAGGAGCCACGCACAGAGTAGCTCCTTCCCTTTGCTGGGGCTCCTCTGACTGGTCTCCCCAAGTTCTATCTCCAGGGTCATCCCAATGAGAACCAACCTCCGCTCCTTCCTACCTTCTTTTGGGCCTGCAAGATCTCCTTGTCCACAGGTGACACAAAAACGGAACCGCCGTCATGATCCATGCAATGGAATTTGATTTTCTCCAGTGACACTTTCTCATTCAGCTTCAGCCTGGGAAAGGAACAGTGCTTTGTCACAAATGCATCCCTGGGTCCTCCCCAGCTGCCAGAGCTGCTCACACACTGGTAAATGTGTCCTCAGGAGATCCTGCTCTGACCCCCAGGATGGTGAGGTGATACCCTGAAGACATGCAGATACCTGGTACTCACAACCCACCCACTCTGCTCCTCACTGGCACCTGCACAAAATAAGCTCTTGCTTGCACAGACCTGTGAAGCAACCAAACTGGCTGTGGCGTGGGATGGAAAACTCATCACTCAGCAACAGGAAAAGGCCCTGTAACACCCAGAAGCAAGGCCAGCCTCAGAAGTGGAGGGACAGCAGTGGGGAGCAGCTTGCAGGCAAAGGGGAGCCCGTCAGCCCTGCCCATGGCTGCCTGTGGGTGCATGCGGGTGGTGGGAAGGACAGTCTCAAGCTGCAAAGGTCCCACTGACGCCAGGGGGAGAGGAAGGAAATCAGTAACAAGGAACTGGGTGGAGTACAGATCTGTCTTGTACAAAGTTCTGACCCGCTGTGCAGACCAGAGAGCAGCTGACACCAGCTCAGCAGCTGGTAGCAGTGGGAACGACTCACTTGCTGACCCCAGGACCGGCCATAACCCTCAGCACAGGCTCCAGGTCCTCCGCGTAGCGGCACATGGGCCCAGTGCACAGGTAGTTGGTCCGCGCCCCGTGAGCATTTGGGAACTGGCCATCATTGGGCACCACCCCTGCGAGCAGAGGAGACATTGGGTACCACCCCGAGCATAGCCTCCAGCCAGGAGAGCCCTGCTGGGGGACTCTGGGTACAGGGGGATGTGGTCCCCCAGGGATTCCACACCCCAGAAGTGCTGACGATGGCAAGATGCATGGGGTGGGGAAGGGAGAAGCATCCAGTCAGGACACTAGATGCCAGGTAAACACCCCAGCAGATCCCAACCTTGGGAAAACATCCCACGCCAAGGATGCAATACCTAGGTAAAACCATTCCTGTCTCCCACACACCTGGCGTTCTGCCTCCAAGAACTTCTTGCTGCCAAGCCTGGCTGTGCTCCTGCAGCAGGCTTGTCACATGCAAGGAGTTACCTGTCCCCTTATAGCAATCCCACCAGAGCCCAGCACAGAGGTGTCCTGAGAACAGGTTCATCCCACACCCACCATTTCATCTCCTGGCACTTCTGCTGGGGAGGAGGAGGAAGAGACCCCCAAGTCTGCCTTACCTGTCGTGGGTTTATGGCCAAAGACTCCATTGAAGAAGGCAGGCATCCGGATGCTGCCGCCAATGTCGGAGCCCACACCTATGACTGAGCAGGCAGCTGCCAGGACACCGCCCTCCCCACCTGCATGAGAGAAAACACATCAAACCCCCAGGTTTATAGTGAAAATCACCCAGCAAAGCAGGAGCACCTCCCAGTTGACCCAGAGGGGTGGGAGTCGCCCCAGCTTCAGTGATGGCTGGGGGACAGCTGGGGAACGTGGACCAAAGGGATTCTCTTGCCATTAAGAGTGAGTGAGCCAAAGCAATGCCAGATGAAACACCCAGGAGAGCCAAAGCAGCTGGACCTCCCAATAGCCTAGAGCAGTGCCTGGGAAAGAGGCTCTGCAGGACCTTAGGGACATGTTAAAGCTGCATGCAGAGACATGGGATGCTTCCCTTGGTACATTTTGATATGCTGCTCATGCAGGACTGTGCCAAGGTGCTGGGGCTCACCTGAACTGCCGCCCACGATCCTCTGCAGGTCATAGGGGTTGTTGGTCCGCCCATAGACTCTGTTGCTGGACTCGTACCACATGCAAAGCTCGCTGCAGTTGGTGACACCCAGTGGGATGGCACCCGCCTGCTTCAGCCGTGACACCACCGTGGCATCCGAGGTGGCGATCACGTTGCGGCGGCTGACCAAGCCAGAGGTGTTGGGCATCCCTGTGGTCAGTATAAGGAAGGAGGCATCAGGGCCAGCAGCCCAGTATCATCTGAAGCTGCAGGAAGCAGGTCCCTGGTGAGGGCTACTCCTCTGGGCACCACAAGTCCCACAATGCCTGACTACTACAAGTGAACATGGACAAAGGAGCCTGGATAGAGAGGGGTGCAGACCAGGGAAAGGAAACTGCTTCCCTCCAAGCACTTGTGATGGACATCCTCCACTCTGGGGAGCATCTGACTGACAGGGAGCGAGTCACAACCTGTGAAATGGAGAGGAACAAAGGCAAACCCACCGTGCAGACAAAAGGCCTCCTTGACAGTGATGGGAACCCCCAACAATGGGAACTTCTCCTCCAGGTAGTCAACACCAGGGCCCTCTGAAAGCAGCTTATCGACCTGCCGGGCTTCCTGCAGGGCCTCCTCGAACCTGCAAAGAGGCACCCGGGGATGTTCTGGCGCTGGACCAGTTAGGAGTATGGTCCCTGCAGGGCAGGCAGACCCCAA